ATCAAATTAAAGAAATTACACAAAAAAACGAGAACTTTAAAATACTTAATTTGATTCTAATATTGATATTTCTTTTCAACTTCTTATGGGATATTCAAATATAGTTTATTCAAACTTAAAAACACTATCATTTTCTCAAAACCATACAAAACCGTGTTATAATATTGGCAGAGACAAAAAATAAAAGAAAACATTAAAATCAAGATGTATCTCATTATATTGCGTGAGTACCCTTCTAGTAATTAATAAACATGCAAATGTTAGCCCTTTCTAAAAATAAAAATACACATATCTCAAAATCTAGGGACCAAACTTGTAACCGTGAAAAATGATGAAAAAATAGGTGCAAACAAATAATAACACACCAAACTCGATGTAAGATTTCGTATCTCCAATAAATTAACTTTGAGTCGATTTTAGTATTAATTTGTTGTATGATTTCAGAACTAGTTTTTGTTCACGGGGTCCGACTTTTTGGACTGGAAAAGTCGACCGTCAAAAGTGATTTAGAATTTATGTAACGTGTGTCGCATCATTTAGTACCATTTTGTATTGGAGCACATATTGCCTAACGAACGGAGATGTATCTAATAACTTGTCGCTTAATTTTAAACGACAATTACCAAATCATCTATCACATCGTGATTGAGAAATCTAGTGTCCAATGTTGTTTAGGGAAATCGATCTTTGCTATAGATGGTGTCGATCTTTTATTAGCAAGAACACTACGTAATTCTAGAGGGGAATTTAATGCATTTATCTTAACACAGGTTGAAAGGTTAAATGCACACGTTCAAATATTTATACCTCTCTAAATCGTTTAACATTCAAAATTATTTATATTGTTATTTTATTAAAAAATTTTGATTAATCTGGATATCCAACCCGGTATGCGAACCGGCTAATCCCAAAGTGACGTACTTATCCGACCTCATCTGATTTGTTTGTCATATACTAAAATGGTCATTTTGATCTGTAATCGACCCTTTTATTCTACCACCTGCGCCTAATTTAAAATGTGATAGTGAATTAGCAATTGAGTAATGAATGTAAAAGTGGTTAAAAATCTTTGTTGAGTCACATATGTTGATCCAAGTTATGGGGTGTAAACTACATGAGAATAACATTTAGGGGTCGTTTATCAAACACTTACCCAGTAAGTGTTTACCGGTAAAATTTAACACTATTATGTACTTACCGGGTAAGATTTTAGTTCATCAAAACGACATAGTATACAACAATTTACCCGGTAAGCTCTTACCGTGGTAAGAGTTGTCGCCCTTACTTACCGGGTATGACTCTTGATCATTGTCTCGCTCTTACTGGATAAGATTCTTAGTCCTTACTATATTCATTCAGTGAGGTAATGTTACTTGGTAAACGCTTACCCGAGTAAGCATTTAGTAAACAGCCCCTTAGTTATTTTATAAGTTTAACAAAAATATTCTATTTTTAACCAAAATAAATCATTATTGATAAGAATTAATAATTATGATAAATGAAAACAAAATAACAAAATTTGACTGACTGGATTAATGAAATCTGAACTCATCACTAATAATATTAGAACACAGTTGCAGACTAATTTTTTCATAATGAAATACCTTTAAAAATTAATAATTAATTATATTGCTGATATTTTTAACGATAAAAAACAAGTTTCAAATCCATAGATATAACTTGAAAAATCCAGGTTGTTAATATCGATCAGGTTAAAAGACGATATATGTTCTAACCAACCGCTTAATTAATCCATGGAAACCAACCATTTTGTGTGTATATGGTGGCTTTTAAGATGTTACATTGATGGACATGTACTACACTTATTTCTCTAATGTTTGTTAAGCATCTTTCTATCACAAGTTGTCATTTCAGAGTTCATATCATATCATATCATACTCTTATAAAAAGCGCTCTTTTATTTTAAAATGATAAAATTGTGTAAAAAATAGATGTGATTTTATCGTTTTCTTATTCTTTTATTTAGTTAATGTTCTGGTATGAACATGACTCTCTTTCTCTCTCTCTCTCCCCCCCCCCCCTCCAAATATATATACAGGAAGCAAATGGATGAAAAATCAAATGAGAACCACAAATATATTACGAACCATTATAATAGGATTCAAGGTGGTAATATTATTCGTATATGTGGAGAGTGGGGGTGTTTATGGGTATAGGTGTGTTCCGTATGTGCAACATATGGACATATTTTGTCTCACATTTGAAACAATATATTACATCTGTTTATAATTATATATCAAACAACATTGTACGTTTTTCATGTCAAATAATTTACGTTAAATCAGTTCTCACAACTATCGACATTATATGGTCCTTATTTGATTTCCCCCTGTATATTTTGATTCTTATGAGCCAATCTACATGTCAAAAAATATTGTGGGACACATTCAAAGTCAGGTCTTGTCGTTTTCTCCAAATAGTCGTTAGGCGTTTTATCATGAGTTCAAAGAGATAGTACAGTGCTTCGAAAGGTTTTACGTGGCATGTGCTTTGACACGTATTGATTTCTCAATATGATTGATTTATTTTAGGCAAGAATACAAGACAAAAGAAAGCGAAAATCCAGTAACCATTTCATCGAAATGTGAGTGTGATGGATTCGTACAAAGTTTTAGAAGGCATGAATATATTTGGTAATTGAAATATCAAATCATACATATCGAACACGTTTCAAGTTTATCTTGTTGCAAAGGTACATCATCTGGTTAGAGGGTCTCAATTCGATTGCGAAACAAAGAAATATATCACTTCAAAGCAAAGTGACAAGTCCCATCTCCCTTGTCCCATTTTGATACAAATACATAGTCTTTAGGTTTATTTATTTACTTAATTATCTGTAATTGCGGTATATGTTCTGTAATTCATTTAATTAACATATGTTCGAGTTCAATATCATGATGTCCAAGAAACTGGTGTAATAAAGACACTTTAAAGAATGGTATATATACCAGTTTTTAATCAAAATTTGAACCTCGGATATTTTTGATCTTCATGATACGGTAAATTACCCATTGATTAACATTACTACAAGCCAAATAGTTAATTTTATGATCGTTTTATAGGGAATGAATGGGTAGATAATACCTAGGGTTGTAAATGAACCGAATGAACACGAATGGAGGCTTGTTCATGTTCGTTCGTCTAACTTAACCGAACAAACGATCAAACATGAACGGTAAACGAACGACAATCTTTGTATTTGTGTTTGTTCGTTTAGAAATAAGGTGTGTTCGTGTTCGTGTTCGTTTATGTTCATTCGTTAACATGTTAAACGAACGGGTTAATCGAACATAAATAAATATTATTTGAATTCAAAGTAAATAAAAAAAAGATTATATATTAATTTTAGAACATAAACAAACTTCCCGTCAAACGGTTTACGAACGATTCGTTGAACATTCGGCTCGTTTACAGCTCTAATAACACCTAATAAGAATGGGGAAAAAGGCATAAAATAAAGCCAAGGGAGATCATGTTGAAACACCCCATGTTAAAATGTTCAGAAAAAGCACCATTCCTCATATGCTCATAATAAATACCATTGCCTTTCTTGTTCATTCTTCCAACAATTATATAATATTATTTTATAAGTTTGATTTTGTCACATAATTTCTTCCAAATTATTGATTAATCATTAAATAATTAAAAAATACCCTTTAAATTAAGATTCAACTAAGAAAGTTTGTCTATATATGACCATGAAAACCCATGTTTAAAAAATAGTGATGTCTGATTGGTTTGAGCTTAGCTCCAAAGATCAAAAATATCAGGAAGTCTCAGGTCCAATTCCAAGGAGGAATAAAAATCCCCTTGTGGTCACGGAGGTTCAAATGCGGTGACTTCAGACTATCTGCAAAGCAGGTAGTTGCTCTGAGATTAAAAAAAATTTATTGGCGGGGACCTCATGGCCCCATAGTCCACGTAACGGGTTAGATATCCAGGTTAATTAAAAAAATTATATTATATTTATATTAATTGATAATAATAAATTTTATTAAAGGAAAGTGTGGATACCCATCTAACAATTTAACTTTATCCCCCCAATTCTTTTTTATCATAAATTTCCCCACACAAGTTGTGGTCCAACCACCACCCCTCTTATCTTCTTTTCATCACTATGAACTTGGTCACATCAACCATTGGACCCTCTCACCCACCTCTTGTTTCCTTAGATTATGAACCTAACTATTATAACTATGGAGTCCAGGTTGGTCTAGCCACCCATCACTTAACCTTTTATGAGGGTCGAATCGTTTAGGTTTACCAGAACGATCGATGTTTCTTGAGATTCATATGAAATTACTGATGTTTTTCATAGATTATTGGATGTTAAGGATGCTTCGATGGTAGGTACAAGTGATCCCCTATTCCATGAACGTATTTTGGGTGCCGAGCTAGCTCTAACCAAATAGGGCTATTTAGTTCATTTTTGACACCCTTTTCCGTTCCCACTTGAATGAAACTATATTGCAAATGGCAACAAAAAAGTATTAGATTTAATTATTAATAAATCAATCAAATTTATTTTCTTATTTTGGTCAATTTCATGTTTACAACAAATTTAATTATATATATATACCATATATATGGAGTATGAGAAGCATAAATATTTTGTGAACCGGAAAACCGACTATATTTATGAGTTATATTGTTGATGATATTCATTATGAATATCTTGAATGAATATCATCAACAATGAAATGATATTCATGAATAACTCATAAATATAGTTGGTATTCATTATGAATATCTGTCACGATATTTATAATAAAGAACTTATGAGTAGTTGGTTCTTTGTTTCTCAAAATATTTATGGTTATCATTTGAATTTGTCCCTCGGGTGTGTGTGTGTATATATATATATATATATATATATATATATGACATAGATTATCATTTATAAAACATTTAGTTTGATGGTATTTAAATCCATATTTATTCTAAAACAACCTTCCTGACTTTTAAATCCTTCTATAAATTTATAAGGTACCTTCCACACACCTTGAATTTATAACCTTATTAACATAATGCCTTCTGTCCACTCCAGCCCCTTCCATCAAATGGAGAATCCAGCTCTGGTATCGTTGTTACAGCACACCACCAATCGGGAAAAACGATCAAAGAGCCGTGGCAGCGGCGGCGGTGGTGGTGGGATATTTCGCATGTTCAAGCTTCTTCCCATGTTAACCTCCGGTTGCAAGATGGTAGCACTTTTAGGCCGGCCAAGAAAGCAGCTTCTCACAGATCATGCCACCACCGGAACCCTATTTGGTTACCGGAGAGGAAGAGTAAGCTTAGCCATTCAAGAAGATCCACACCGTCTCCCAATCTTCGTGATCGAACTTCCCATGAGCTCCACGGCGTTCCAGAAAGAAATGGCGTCGGATATCGTGAGGTTGTCACTGGAAAGTGAAACAAAAACTCATAAGAAGAAGGTTTTGGAGGAATACGTGTGGGGAGTTTATTGTAATGGGAGGAAATATGGGTATTCGATAAGAAGAAAACATATGACAGATGATGAACTTCATGTCATGCAGTCGCTCCGGGGAGTGTCGATGGGTGCCGGAGTTCTGCCGGCGTTGTCGGAAAAGGAGTCGACGGTGGACGGTGAGTTGACTTATATGAGAGCAAGATTTGATAGAGTGGTGGGAAGCAAAGATTCAGAAGCTTTTCATATGATTAATCCTGAAGGTGCTGCAGATGGCCAAGAACTCAGCATTTTCTTTGTAAGAATACATTAAAAATAAGCATATATTATATGATCCAATATTTTTAATTAGGGTTTTGTATTGATATTGATGATGTAAATCAAAACAAAAATCTAATTTTTGGTTGGGAATTAATTTAATTGAACTGAAAATTCATTATATTATTTAATTTTTTTCATCGAAATTAATTAAAATAATATAGATTCAAACATGTTTCTTTGGATTTTAATTTATTTGTATTTTCAGTTCAAACCAAAAATTAGTATAATATGATACGTATCTATACTATATTATAAAGCATTTGATAAAAATTCTTAAAAATTATTTTTTATGTATGAAGTATTGTGTATTAATGCATATTACTTAAAATTTAAGATTACAGGTAAGTTGTACATAAATACAACTTATTAAAGCTCTATTTTTTTAATTTTTATAACTAAATGTATATAAATATAATCAAATACAGAATAAATATCTTATTTTAAATATTAAAATTTTAAAATATAATTAGAATAATTATTGAGTTCTAACAGAATCTTTATCTTTATAAAAATGATATTGTTAATCCAAAAATAAATTATTTTGCTATTAGACCTAAATTAAATTATAATAAAAACTGAATTAAAGAAATTGTACAAAAAACAAGAACTTTTAAATAGTTAATTTAATATTAATATCGGTATATTTTTTCAAATTTATATGATATATTTAAATTTAATTTTATTCAAAAGTGTAAACATTATCTTTCTCAAAACCACAAAAACCATGCATATTATATCAAAAGAGACAAAAAAAAAATGAAACATTAAAATGAAGATGTATCTCACTACATTGCGTGAATACCTTTCTAGTAATGATAAAAAAGAATTGATGACAACGTAATTTTTTTTGTATTCAAATTAGAAAGTGTTTTAAATGTTTGTCGATCGATATTAAATATTTTACAGATAAATACGACAAATTAAAAAACGTATTTTTTAATGAAATAATATTAGTTTCTATCAGAACGTTTTATTCTAAGATGATTTTTCATTTTCATTCAGATATATGAGGCTAGAAAACTTATTCATTGTACATAACTTCTTGATGTTATTGATTTCATGTCGCATATAATATATATATACTGCGTTGTCTATCATATATACAATACGATAGGATGTAAAATTTAATGAAAACCGAGAACATAAAATTAATGCAACTGTTATTCACACGGATTCAAAAAAAAATTTACTACTACAAATAACAAGTCACTAGTCAATACAACAAAATCGGGTTTATAGAACACTCTCAATTTCTAAGCGTTCTAATAAACCTTTTTATAAGACTAAGTTTATAGAACCAAAAAAATAAAGCGTCTCATTTAAAGGCGTTGTAATAAGTTTATATGACGTTTTTTAATTGCGTAATAAGTTTTTGAGGACACTTTTAATATAAAGCGTCTCATTAACAACTTTATAGGACACTATTTGAAACATTGTTCTATAGAAACAAATGCACTATAAAAAATTAAGTTTATATGACACTTTGTCAAAAGTGTCCTATAAAGTTGCTAATACGACACTTTGAATTAAAAATTTTCTAAAAAACTTGTTAAAACGCCTGAAAGCGTCATATAAACTTATTACAACACCTTTAGATACACTTTATATTTTGGTCCTATAAATTAAGTCCTATAAAGCGGTCTATTGGGACACTTAGAGATTGGAGGTGTCCTATAACTCAATTTTGTTGTAGTGAGTAGCCTACAAAAACCCTTTAAAATATTACATTTCCAACGTTTTTAGAGACCAAACACATGAATATTGTAAACTTTGAATATAAAATTTTAACACTTAAAAGTAGCATATTTCATCCAAAAAGGTCGAGATGCATCTTTCTTTTAGAATAGATGGTGTCTGTTCATAAACAAGTAAAGGAGTCGACAATCAAATGCTCGTAATGAAATAGCAAGGTAGAATCACTTAACGAGATTTCCCCCTTAGCTACCAAAGAATAAAAAGAAAAACATTTACGGATGCAACAAAGAGAGAAGGTGACTTAAAATCAGAACCGCAACGTATTACAACATAGGGTACATAAGTTGATTAAACTTTTAATATGTACCACTTCGAACCATTAATGAAACTAAAACTTATAGATAGAAGTTTCATTAATAGTGCTTTTGTGTGTTTCAACTTAGAGACTGTTGAATACCAAACTTAAGTTAAATTGACCGTTAAATCATATGTACACACAAACCAACTTCGTAAAAACGTAAAAGCAACCAAAGAGAAACATAAGATGAAAAAGATATTACATGAACTTCACAACCAATTGCATAGAAGTTCAACAAACACCAAATTACGAGTAATAGAGTTTTCCATTATGATTTTTTCATAAGGGCTCCTTAGTTTCTGTTTAGAGTTCATTGTTGGATAAAAAACAGTGTTTAACATATGTGTGCACATTATGGTAATAGAGTTTTCCATTGAGGTTATTTAGTACCTGTTTATGTGCACAATGTGATCTACATGTGCACGTATAGATCACGTTGTGCACGTATATTTTAGTTATACAATTAATAACCTACTCATAAGTTGGAACAGTAGATCACATTGTCCAATTATTTATTATTTAATGCGTTGCGGGCTTGTGGCTGGCGGGTGGGCTGAGCACTGTGATTGGACCTTATGTTGGGCTTCATTGTTTTATTGGGCCGATGAACTTGGGCCATTAACTACCATTAATTGTGGTCATCTTAATTGTCTAACAACAATGGGTTATATCGTTGTACCATGCCTGGCCCAGTTAAATATGATTTGAGCCAAGTCCAAATTCAAGACCTTAGGGGTGTACAAAAAACCCTCAATCCATGAAACTTGTCTAACCCAACCCGTTAACAACCGAATTAATCCCAATCCATTAACCGTCAACCCGTTAACTGAGAGGGTTGAAATTGGGTTACTATAACTCAACTCAATCCAAACCCTTAACCCGCCGCTAATGTATATTATTTTGATAAAATTATAATATATATATATATATATAGTAAAATTGACAACCCAAATCCCAAATCCGCCGAAAATACGGTCCATTAAAGCCCAATACGGTCCATTAAACCACAACTAACATCCACTAAATTCTAATATGATGCGTTAAAGCCAATAAAACCGTTAAAGCCCAATACAATTCATTAAAACCCAATAGAACCGTTAAAACTCAATACAATCAATTAAAGTCTAATTAACATCCATTAAAACCCAATAGAACCGTTAAAGCACAATATAAGAAAATTCGCCTGTAATTCGGCGGCTTTTCTTTTTTTTTTCTCATTTTTCAAACTTTTCTTTACTTTCAATAAATATTACCGGAATTCCGCCAATAAGTTATTGTAATTAGATTTAAAAAAAGTCTAAAATAATTAATTAAGAAATCCGCCGAATATATTACCAGAATAATTTTCTGCAGATTTTCGTCGGAAGTCAACAGAAGTTGACTTTTTTGTTGCCCGCCGGTAATATTCCGGCGGAAATTGTCCGTCAAAAATCTCGCCGGAAATACCCAGTATTCTAGTAGAGCAAGGTGGAATGAAACCCACCCACAATACATTGATCATGTCTTTAGAGATGGCCAAAAATGATGCGTTCAAAATCCGGTCTGCTAGTTCCGATCACGACCCAAAAAACCTAAGACTGATCCTACACCTGATAACTAGCCCTGGTCTTTCCAAGTCGGTCCCAAAACGGTCAAGTGTCCGGCCTGGGTTTTCAAAAAAGATATTAAAAAATTACACAAAATTGTTATACAAGTTTCTATAAATTATTATATTTGAATTTGAGCATTGAGATACACTTTAAATATCACATTTACGTGAGAAAATCCTGAAGAACTTGAAAAATCGGTCCTATATATAACCTGTCCCTGTCCCGGTCCCAAGTCAGGTCTTGATTTTCCACGAAACTCGTAATTTGATTTCCGACTGTCAGGCCATAACAAGTTCCGATCCAGGGGCAGACCTACATAGCCCTATACGGTAGCACGAGCTACCGCTTCATAGTTTCGTCGTAAGGAAAGAAGTTACTTTTCCGAAGGGTGCCACAATTTTGTTTTGTTGGGTGTCCTATAGTTTTTGAAACTGAAGCTTTGGTGTAAGTCTCTAAAAACATAGTTGGTTCCTCACTTTGTACAAAAACCCCTAGTTCGAGTTACACCAATATCAAAATTTTCAATTTTCAGCATGAATTTTGGTGTTCTTTTATATGTTTTAGGGGTTGTTTGTTGTTTACCTTTTAATAGTTTCATTAAAAGGCAGCATCTGAATCTTTAAGAGGTGAATCTTATGGTTCTAAAATACTCTTAATGATCTAATCGAACCCAAATTGAGTCGGTCTCTGGTCTCGGGCCGAGCCAGACAAACAGTCTCTAATATCTATGTTCTTATACAAATATACGAGTGATCTTAACATACGTTTTTATCGGATATTTAAATAAAAATAAAATCGAAAAAAAAAACGAATAAGACTTTACAACTGCAAGAACAACCACCCTAACCAAATTGTTGACTACAGATGGACAACTGGATTCAAACTTTGACCCTAGAGGATACAAGTCAACAAAGGCCCATACAGTATCTGTGGGTGTAATAACAGGAGATCTGTTCTAAAAAAGGGTGAGATAGAGAAAGTAAAATGGGTTTTTGTTGTATACGGCGAGACGGAACACTGTGGGCCCCACGACTAAAACACATCAAGCGGTCCATTTGTTTTTCACCTGTGGGTGTAAGGGGGCAAAAAAGTTGAAAATGTCAGTCATGGGGTCCGATACCGAGATGAGTGGTGTAGGGTGGACCGTCGGTAGACGATCACTGCCAAACTTATTCCTTTACGATTTAAATGCAAACCCCAATGTGATAGAACGACCGACTCTTGGTAGTTAACATTTAATGTTAATAACATCGTTACAAAAAAAAAAACTGATGGTTTCACGAGGTTTGTAAAATAACGTTTTTAATTTATATAATTTTAAAATTATAAAATAATCATCGTAATTTAAAAATTAATCAAATTTAGTTTTTTTACAACGCTTGTTAATAAATTTTGTTAAATAACAAGGATATTTATCATTTTTACTCTTTTTTTTTTGACTTTTATTTAA